TCACTTTTACGCTCTAACGAAACAGAAGCTGACAAAGGGTTACCTTTGTTCGAGTTGAGATCTGACCCACAGTTAGCTGAAGACACTGAAGTGATACCCATTGACTCAAACTGACTTTGAATCAAGCTCTAAGGGGTTAGGACTTTCTTCTGATTTTCACCAAAATGACCCCAGTGCAGGGCAAAGTCGCTCTGGAATTATTCCTGGGCTTGTGAGATCAGGGCCTGGCCAAAAGCTTTTGAAGCACATTTTCTTCAAGGGCAGCGCATTAATTCACTGGTCTTGGGAACGATGAATCTGAGGTCTGAGCAGGTGAAACCTGTCCCCTCCTCCTGAGAGAGAGCTGGCAAAGCCATCGGACCGGTGAGCACCAAACCTGGATGCAAATCCGGTGTTCCTCAAGAGATGGGTTGCCTTCAGGGGTCTGGTGTTCCCTAAGGATGGTTGGTCCGTGCTGGCAGGGCTGCGCTAGGCCTGGTGTGACCTCAGGGAGCAGGATCCTGTTAATGCTTCAGCTGTTATGACAGACTTCAGGGTCACACTCTTCCATGCTTTTTGTGCTTCTCGAGGCCCTGCTCTCACAGTGTCAGTTACTGAGGGCCACCCGCCGTGTGCTGCTGGAAGCTGTGTTGAAGGAGGCTTGGGAGGGGAGTGCCAGAGGTGTGTCATGGAAACGTGTGTTCCCCTAGGAAGAAAAGTCATCTTGTTACTGTAAAACTGCTTTAAGCGCGAGACTGACTTGTATCATCTGGGGGGGGGTTGGGTCAGACTGCAGTGCCGTTCTTTGACGTGGGGATTCGATGCTTCCGCAAAAGAGGACATGAGGATGTACGCAGGAGCCAGCAGAAAAGGAGGTTAAATCTACTATCCCTCTTTTACTGGCGTAGGGGTATCGGCATCCTCTGCGGAGTGAGTGGACTCTTGCTGCCACATGTTACCAACCAGCATTTCGCAGAAGATGCCGAGCTGTTCGAGCGAGGGCGGAACAGAACTTCTCAGTCTGCCTGCTCTGGAACCTGCAGCCCTCCCCCCAAGGCAGGCGAAACGACGAACACTGCGTTTAGGTAGAGGCTCACCTGTGTAATGAATTCCCCCAGGTTGTTGCTGCTAATGGCAGTAAAAACAACTCCTAAGCGATGAGAACAACGTGGTGGCACTTTGTGTCTTTCCGTGGCTGTGATCCTGCTGCCAGCACACCCGGTCGCTTGTGGCCACCGCGGGCAGGCAGCCGTGGTCCTTCTGCCTCTAAGTCGTCTTCAGCCCTTCCACAACGGCTTCTGAGCCTCCTGACCACCTTCTGTCAGATTCAATCAGGAACGTACAAGCACCAAAGATGCTTCCAGCGCAGCTCTGTGTGAACCTGGAAAACGGTAAGAGGGATCTGAATTGTTCCTCCACCGAAAGGGTGAAGAGCTCAGCCATGAGGTTGGGCAGCAGGGAAGCTGCCAGAAAACGGCCGCGGGAAGCCGGCTGTTTAAACGCCGCTGCCCACGGAGCCTCGTGTGTACCCGCAGTGCGCTGTGAAACACCCCCGGCACCACCTCAGCTGTCGGTGGGGCAAGTGTCACGCCAAGGGCTGAGGAGGACAGCTTGGTAGATTTTATAATTATTGGTAAGGTAGTGCTGGGCGTTGTCACAAAAATCTGGGGGTTTTGCTGGTAATGGAAGTTTATTATTTTCTCTGTGTGCGTCACACTGCGATACGTTCCCCCGAGCTGTCAGAAAGCATACAGATAGCATTGTGGAAATGCAGTCGGCTTGGAGACACGAATAAGACCACTTCCCTCTTGAATAGCAGGTGCCTTTATCACGCAGAGTTTCTCCTCTAAATACCTCCCTTTGCGTTCCGTCTGCGCCTGGCAGAAACCTAAGAGATGCAGAGACGTTCGCATCAAGCCCAGGAGACTGAGAAGTGTGAAATCCTGCAAAGTAAAAGCCTGGGAAGATGTCGTTGTGTCAGAACTAATAACGGCAGCAACAGCCAGCAGCCCCCACGCTAGCAGGGTCATGTTGTATTAAGTCCTTCATAATTATTAAGTGCTGGGATGTAACCTCAGACGGAAAGCACAAAGGGTCGAGGCATACGAAAACCACCACGTCGCCGGCCACGGGCACTTCACGGGTGTAACCAGAGTCATTATTCCTATAAATCCTAACCTCAGAGGGTGCATCAGGGCCTCACGGCATCAGGTGGGGGCAGCCAGTCAGACAGAAGACATGTGCTTCCTTTTTATGCCCCAGACACTGCCATGGAAGGGCGAAGATTCGCCACTCGCTCGTGGTTGCGCAGCCAAGCTGAAGGCAGACAGGGAAATGGGGCTCTCCGGTTCCAGCCGTATCCTTTAATCACAGAACAGTGATGCTCTTCTAAAACATGGGATCGGAAAGACAATGATCTGAGTGTTGTATCTGCCTGTGCCCTCAATACTTAATAGGCAATCAAATATTAATGTTTGACCTGATTATGCTTGAGTGTTTTTTTTTTTAAAGACTTACAATGAGACAGGCTGTTTGGAGAAGAAAATGGTAAACTGTTACCGAGATGAATATAAAAATTAGACACAAATTTCTAGGGTAAATCTAACTGCCACAGCGGAGCTGCGACAGGAGCTCATACGCATCCTGTACGTGTGTCGCTGAGGGGCTCCTAGCAAAGCGTGCTGTGCTGGCACCGCTGTACGCACGGGTCTGTCAGCGCTTCCTCACCAAAGTGCTGTCATTCAGGACGCTGCAACTCAGCCATCAAATTCCTGTCGTCACCAAAACGTGATGTGTGGACTTTTCCTTAAGGTCCCCGGATGGAAAACCTTGGTGGGAGCGCAGCCAGCAGGGTTCTGTGGCCATCCAACAGTACCGCGGAGGTAGCTACCTCTAGAGAAACAGCTTGTGGTGTGCAAAACCAACGTCGGTGTTTTAGTAGTTAAGTAGAAGCTTACAGGGAGAGAGAGTGTATGTTTAAATCACCACAACTAAACGTTTACCCCCCGTGTGTGCCTTAATCTAGGGAGAACAGGTTGCACCCACCTCTCCACGTTCTGCGTTACTTCTCTTCCATCAGCTCTTCGTTTAATAAGAAGACATTTGTTCTCTGCTGCTAATCTAGCAGTAGACTCGTATTCTGCTTTTAATACTACCGAAATTCAACTTCTCTGCCGCTGTAAGTAGTTCCATTATGGTTCCCTGGACTTCAATAACGCTTCCATCAGTTTACGCCAGCTGAGGATGTGTCTCGTAGGCTTTCATATCTTAAATTTGATCGCAGCTCTGCGCTTACTTTGTCACAGAGATGCTAACCTGGAAATGTGTATATCAGGGAGATTTTGAACATAATTTTCCTTGCTGAGCAGAAATCCCCCAGGGGTTAACTTGCCAGAGCAATGCAATATCAAGTAATCTGTAGGATATGTCGGACTTCTGGGCTGTACGGCATCAGTCTCCCTGCCAGGCACAGGGGTGGGAGGTGCTAGTTTGCTGAAGCTCGTCAGTAGATTTGAGAAGGTCTCGTTACCTACTTGTGGGGAACGACACGTACAAGGATGCAGTGAGCTCTTCAGTTTGGAAAGGCAGGTTCTCTTGTCCAGAAGGCCACTGGTGTGGCAGGAGGCCTTTGCAGACAACAGCTCCCACCGCTGCTTTAGCCGAAGGACCCAGAGGAGGCAGCGCGGTGGGGGTAGGGGGGTCTTTGGGACCGCCGCTACCCGCACAGCCAACGTAACAAGGACGGCGGGCGGTACGCTGCTGGCAGCACCCTTCCAACTCCAGGCCACAGCGTGCCCCCCAGGCGAGGCTGAGCAGTATCCGTGCGCCTCCCAAGCCCGGGATTAGCAGGATTACAGCAAGCGTCACCCCGCAAGTACTACACTCCCTCAGGCTCACTTTTCGGGGTGTTTCTAGAGGCGTGCATGCTTCGTTTGTTCTCGCTCGTGCTTCGCAAGCAGAGGACTTGCTGCCCCTTGGTCTCTTCATGCGGTGAAGCCAAGATGAGCTGCAGAACTTTGTTGAGGTCCCTGAACGTGGTCCTTTTTGATTGGCGGAGAGGGAGAGCGCGCATCTCCCCAGGCAAACGCTGGCAATACCAGACTGATCTGTCACTCGTGGCAAATTGTGCAGATCTTCATAACATCATCTTCCTTCCACAGTCTTATGTGCTTTGATGTGTGGTGAAATAATTAATACTTTAAATGTCAGCACTGTTATCGCTGGGTATCCGTTAGTCCCCATTGAGATGAATGGGGCTGAGCTGCTGGTTCAGGTTTGCAAACGCAGACAGATGTCACGGCATCACTTCCTCAAGTGTGAGATTTTTTTTTTTTCCTCCTATTCCAGTGAGACTTGTGTTTAAAATGAAAGCATGGATTTTGGAGGGTGAGGAACAGTATAAAAGCAGCAGCGCCGCGCCATACTCCGCGTGAGCCTTGTCACAGACAAAGTCAGGCAGGCTGTGGGGCCTTCAGCCCTCTCCCTGCTGCTGGTGGTGACAATTCTGTTGTTAAAGCAGTTATGCTACAATGAAGTTTGTGGACTAACCGACAATGCAGTTTATCGCTAGACAATTGCACTTTTTTTGCATATATTATGTCATGCAGAGTTTCTTAAATTATGCTCAGGGAAACTGAAGAGACCCCTTGGGCCTGAAACACTGGGTTTGGGAGCTGCCAGAGGGGTTTTGCTGTACCTGAATCCATTTTCTTGGGGGGTTCATTTCAGATACCTGATCTGTAGGAAATAACGAGCAGCCTGCTCCTGTGTCAGACCCCTTCATGGTCTCTGAATCCATGAACCCAAAAGCGTTTGGATGTAATTTGGCCTATTTCTGTGTAGCACATGGATAAATCGCTCGTGACCCAGTAGCTCTTTTCTCGGTGGAAGCTGTGTTGTGGTGAAGCTCTTTAAACTTGCTGGTGAATGCTACATCTTGCCCTTCGGTTGAAAAGGTACCATTTGCTTCCACAACTGCGGGATGCTGATTTCTAACAGGATTTCGTGACAGAGGTATTTTGGTTTCATTAATGAGTAAAACCGGGGATAGGCAATTTTGTTGCAAGCTGCCCAGAAACCCTTTTGTGCTGAAAGCCGTAATACATACACTGAGACATAACATGTGCGTTGATTCCAAAAGGCTGAGGAGTTCTTAGAACAATTTGACATTCTTGAGAAATTACTTGCTGCTGTTTGTCTATCAGAATGGAAACGCCCTTGTCAATCCACTGGAAAAATGTTTGCTGAGTAACAGCCAATTTCTTCTTCCTGAATTAGCATCTTGTATATTCCCATTCGCTATTTTAGTGAACTGCGCTTGCATCTCTGTTTAAATTCCTCTATTTTACGCTGCTCTTGCCTAGCCTAAGATATATAACTTAACTGATTAGACTTGTAATCAAGAAGAGAAATGGCACATAATGATGTATAGGCTCCTGAGAGAATTGCCCTATAATTCTCAGGATTATTGGCAAAAATAACCCACCCCCCAAAAATCCCTCTTCCCAAATGGGATGTAGATTCTGTGGCGGTTGAAGTGTGTATTATTAAACTCCTTAAGCAAACCGGAATGGCTCCCAGTGGAGAGCAAAGACATTCTAAGTATAGCCACGACTAAATTCTCAGGTCTGGGCTTTCTCTACTCAATTCCCACTTGATTATCTCCTGTAATATTTAAACTTCATGCCATGCCATAATTATTTAATAAAAAGTAAATATAAAATGTATCTCAGTGGGGAATATGACCTTTTACCTTCGTGTTGTCATACCAGAGACAGACCCAGGCAAACAGAGAAGCTGGAGCAGCGTAACGGTCCGCCTCGCTCGATGGTTTCATTCTCCTGGTGTCCGAGATGGTTCTCCCGCAAGGTGCCGAGTGGATTTTGGCAGATTCAGTAGGAGCCATCAGCATCTCTGCAGTTGGGAGTTTGCAGCTCTAAACAGATTCTAAACAACTGTAGCTGTGCTAGGGAACACCAGTAACCCCGGCGTGCTGCAGGCAGGCAGAGCCTGGGAGCACGCTGAATGCCACAGCCCTGACTCCTGGTTTCTGTGTTAATCTGGAGTTTAATTGCAAATCATCAGGAATTAGACTATTATGGCCATGATTCCATAGTGGAAAGTATTAGGGTGTCTGAAGTTCTACGAAATCCTCAGCGATGCCAGCAGGGCTCTACCAGCTCTTACTGATGGAGGATCTGGGTCAGAATCTCTTGGTGTATCCACTGGAGACTGACATCAGTGCAGGGAAGGGGCTGTGTGTGCATCATGGCCGGATGCCGCTGAAGATGTTAATGTGTCTAATGAGTAGCTGCGCCCTAGTTTGTGACGGCAGAACGTGTGCGTGGGACGTGTGAGGTGTTTATCGGGCGGGGAATGCGGTACGCTGGGTTTCTGCCCGCGTGAGACGAACGCGGCAGCAGACCTGTTTGGACTTGCGGCTGCACCCCAACCTGCTGGATTCCCACCGCGGTTAGTTTTGTCCGGACTGAATACATTCATCCTCAAAGGCGTATTTTGTGACGGCGCTTCCCTGCCGTGCCTTTAAATACTCACGCGGCCTTGGATAGAGGGCGAGGAGTCGGCCCTGGAAACCGGAGCAGCTTTGGGTGCAGAAGCGATGCCTTTCCTGGTCCCTTGCTGAGTGAGCCGAGCTCACTAGTGTGAGCAAACAGCACGCGGCATTCACGGCAGCTTTGCCATTTCCTTCGACGTATCTGCCCTGAATGCGCCTTCCGGAATACCGGCCTGACACGAGTGTTCAGGTCGGCTGCACCCACCAGGATGAGCTGGCACGGGGGCTGGGCGCGCGCAGAATCCTTCCAAGGCTCAGCTGCAAGCGGGAAGATTCACTAACTCTCTCTTTAACAAGCGGGGCTGGCCAGGAGCACCTGGACCGGTTCGAACCTGTGCGGTTTGTCACACAGATAACAGCAAACATCTGTACCATTGCATGGGTGGAGTCGGGGGACCAGAGTCGGGCACCTGATCTGTAAAACACGGGCCTTTCCGAAGGGATTAGGGATCCTCGTGCGGTTCTCGTGAAGCTTAGCTCGGAGTTCAGCCGGTCCGACACAGCGAGCAGGGCTCGCCTGGGCACAGGCAATGCTCACCTCCTAGCAAGCCGGGCAGGGCAGGGTTTTCTGTGGAGAAGCTGTGAAATCCTTCTTTTTGTGGGCAATGAAACGAGTCGTACAAAGACACGCACTCATATGGGGTTTTTTCTGCTTTCCTTTCAGCTTTAAATGAACCTACCATAGATTATGGTTTCCAGAGGCTGCAGAAGGTCATCCCGAGACACCCTGGTGACCCTGAAAGACTAGCTAAGGTAAAATACTTTTAAGCATTTTACTGAACCTACTAAATAGGTTCTTTCGCTTCTAACTCATGAAAGAGACAAAATCGTATCTTAAATGGTAATTACATGGGTTCAACGGTTTGTAGGGCCAAACAAGAATTTGATGGTGTAGCACCCCGAGGTACCAGTAACTGTTATCTGTTAGAGCTCCAACCCTGTGAACTTCTGTTGCTGCTCAAGTGAGAGTCCAGTGCCGATGCTGCCCAGTTCGTATTCACGGTCCTTTGCATTTATCCATATTGGTAAATCTCTGAACCTAAATAACACAGTACAGACGTAAGATTAGACATCTGCAACAAACCCTTTAAGGGAATCTTTTAGTAAAAACCACTCTGAGCTCCGTTTTTTCCTGTAGCAACAACTGCAGTGCGCACGTGTGGCAACAGCGCAGGGTTTTACGTACCTGTCATACACAGGATACAGACACGTCGTGTGTCTGCACTGCGTTGTGCAGCACCGAGCACCAGAGTGCCGTTAATGACTCTGTTCCCAGGTTTTAGTGCAGTACCAGAGGTACCGATCAGCATCTTTGTGTGATGAGAGACCGTTGTGTTCAGCTGGGATACTGTGCAGTTTTTGCCTGCAGCCAGAGGGAACAGCGGGCAGCGGAAGGGTTTAGGTGTTTGGGTACCCTTGGGGAGAAGCAACAAATAGACCTGGAGATCATTGATGCGGCTGTGCAAAAGGATAGGCTGGAATTCAGCAGGGAAAGGAGTTGGAACTGGGGGTGCAAGGTTGGTGCGCCCGGAGCAGCTTCAGGACTCCGGAGAGCTCCGGCGGCTCCCGCCCTGCCCTCGCCTGCACACACGCGGGTCCCTTCAGGAGCCCCTGGTTTTATTTGACTGAACCCCTTTTCTGTTAAAATACCGACTTGATGTCTCTGCTCACCCTCCAGGAGATGCTGTTGAAACGAGCTGCTGACCTCGTGGAAGCACTGTACGGAACGCCACACAACAACCAGGTCAGAGCGACGTCTCCCAGCGGGACGCGGATCCCCTCCGGCTTTGCTAACAAACACTGGAGCGGTTCTCCAGGCGCGTTTCTGACCTTGCCCCTCCGTTCTGCAGGACATCATTCTGAAACGGGCGGCGGACATCGCCGAGGCGCTCTACAGCGTCCCCAGGAATCCGGCACAGATCCCGGCGCTGTCTAGCTCTCCTGCTCACAGCAGCATGATGGGAATCAACTCCTACGGCAGCCAGTTAGGAGTCAGCATTTCTGAGTCGGCACAGGGGAACAACCAAGGTAAGCGCGGCCAGAACCACCATGCTCCCGCAGCTTCTCCACCTCTCAGCTCAGGAACAGCACAATGGCTTTACGCTGTCAGCATCAGACACGATGCTGCTGCCGTTTTGGAGGACACTGTGTCTGCACCAGGCTCCAGGCAACAGATTAGCTACGGCTGAAATAATTCAGTATTTTGGATACCAACTTAACCCTGAATTCTCTCCCCGCTCCCTCAGTATCTTTTTGATGTTGTTGTATCCGTGTTCATAAAAGACAAGGACAGCAACTGAAAAAACCTCAGTTACAGGAGTGGGGAATTCTTTCCTTTCTTAAGGCTGCTTCTGCAGCATCAGCTTTGCCAGTGTGCTGCGTCACACCGACTCCAGGTACGTTACTGGTTGTTAGCAGCGTGTGCCGTCGGATGACATTGACAGCGATACGTCGTGGGAGCAAGATCGACTCTGGGCACTTCCTGACTCTTGAACGTTTTCATTCTTTGTACTTGATCCCAGCCATGTATCGCAGGAATAGCTCTGCTTCCCGCCCTAAGGCAGTAGCCCGCGTCATGTGAAGCAGATGTTACACGTGTTGTGTCAGAAATCATCAGGTAGATGATTTCGCTGTTTTTTTAAGAAGGGGCTAAATCTTGGTTCTCAAATATTCCTGATTTTTAAGACAAAAAGTGTTTTTTACTTAGGCAGTTTATTTCTTCCCCCAGGCAGTGATCTTCAGAGCCCAGCTGCAGACTATACATGGGTTATAATTTCCCCTTAGCAACGCGCTTGCTTTATGTGTAATCCATCAATAATTTGAGAAGTATAACCTCCCCCCCTGAAATGGTAGAAAATCCCACATATAGTATAAATTCTACCTCAGAAAAACGTGAGCACACATGATTTTTCCAGGTCTTTGAGCAAATTTCAACTTTTAACAAACCGAATCTGATTAGAAAAACATCAGTTCAGAAAGTTCATTTCTCCTGTTGCTTTAAAACTTAACATTGCTTCCGAGAAAGCGCATGCACAAACCCACCAAATGCCATGGTACTTGTTAAATGTTTTAATTACTCTGGGTACAAGTGATTTATTTAAGCAGGAGAGAGTTGGAAGCCAAATCCACTGACATGCTTTGCAATGTGTTTTTTTTTTTTTTAGGCTACATCCGTAACACGAGCAGCATCTCGCCCCGAGGTTACTCCTCCAGTTCCACACCCCAGCAGTCCAGCTACAGCACTTCCAGCAATAGTATGAACGGCTACAGCAACGTCCCCATGTCGAACCTGGGCGTCCCGGGCTCACCCGGATTCATCAACGGCTCTCCAACAGGATCCCCCTATGGATGTATGTGCTTTGCTGCTTTTCTATCCGGTTCTCGCTCCTGCTTAATTTAATTTACCACAGCAAAAAAAGACAGCAAGTTCTCAGGATTTAGTGAAGGTTTTTGTAAAAGGTTCTGATGTGTTTCCTGGTATTTTTTAGTGTAAACGTTCCCATTTATCAGGAATAGAGCAATTTTGAATGCTACTAGTATTTCCTTCATCTTTTATCCTTACACAGCTTCCAGCGTGGCAAAGGGCAGTGAGAAGTGAGGAACACTTTGCCACTTCAGACGATTAAGTAGTAGCCATCACTCTTAGCATGGAGGCTGCTCCGAATCCGATGTAAAAGTCCCTCTAAACTGATTTTTATGTGTATGAACTGCATGAACAATAACAGAGCTGAATTGGAGATTGATTTCCTGTGAAACAATACTACCTTGGTAAGCAGAAAAATAAGAGTGATGGCATTAAGCTCTGGAAGTTAGTGCTGCTGTGTTTCCAGCTACTGGTTTTACCAAGAGCAAGTCACTCTTCCTCTCATGCCTTGATTTCCCGCTGGCAAGTGCGTGTGTAAGATATCCACACATCCGAGAGGTTGAACAGCAAACCAGCTCTTCTTTAGTGCCTTATTATTTAACGGTACCGCTCGCAGTAATGTCAGGATCAGGCCTTTCCAGGAACACCTGCTGTGCTGCAAAACATGGGTTTATTTTTATTTCATTGCATTCACATCATCTGCGTAAGGCCCGACCCGCATCGCGGAGCTGATGCGGGCTCCTTCCTGGGCTGGAACCGGCTCATCAACCCCCTCCCGCCGGAGCTGCTGCAGAGGGTGCCCCAAAGGCTGCTCAGGGCCTTTCGGGACTTGCCCCGCTCTGTTGGCTTCAGCAAGGAAAGGGCCTGTCTGCGGTGCGCTGCTGTTCTGGTTTCAAACGGGTACTTCACTGAGACTTGGGGATTCGCTGGAACCCCCGTGGAACAAGGTTACTTGTTCCGTGTTTTGCTGGGAAGCAGCCGGTGTTTTTCTGGAGGGTGAGTGTGCCGCTCGCTGCTTAACAAGCTGCCGCACACACAGTGGGACTTTTCCTTGCAAGATGCTACTTTAAACAGAGGCCAGTTTAGATTCTAGTGTAAGCAGCAGCTTAACATCCCCCCTCAGCTCCAACCAAGGCAGCCTTCATCCTCACAGAGCTGGGGAGGGCCCGGGAGTTAACTGCCCTCCCAGTTCCAACGCACAGACTGGGAGCGGACAGGCCCTTGCTGTCTCCTGCTTGTCCGTATCGACTCTCTCCCCCTTGACAACTCACCGTTTTCCGATACCACCACCCTTCAAGAGAACTCTGAACGCCTCGGGGTAACTACCTCTCTGCTTCGGGGTAGGTGTGAGCGGCCAGGCCGACGTCAGGGTGGCGCTTCTCAGCGAGGCAGAACGACCCATCAGACATTTGAAGCAGTTTTACCGAACGCCTGTAGTTGCATTTGTGACGAGGGTTCACTTTTCTCTTTTGCAGTGATGTCGTCAAGCCCAACAGTCGGCTCCTCCAGCACCTCCTCCATCCTTCCGTTCTCCTCGTCCGTCTTCCCTGCTGTCAAACAGAAGAGTGCCTTTGCTCCTGTCATCAGACCCCAAGGGTCTCCCTCTCCAGCCTGCTCTAGCGGCAATGGAAATGGGTTCAGAGGTAAGAAACGTGCCATTACCATCCAGCCTGATCGTGTAAAACACACCGTGTTAGTCCAGGTAAATCCAGGAGCCCCCTCAGGACACAGCTCTGACATCGCCGGACTCGGTAGTGAAAATCTGACCCAATCCCAGGAACGCTCCCAGCTTTGTTTGGGTTTAAAACAAGGGGGGACAGACCCTCACTCGCACCGAGCAGGATGTGACCCACGCTGCGTTTCAGTACCAGCTCTTTGGTGAGGAACGGCTTCTCCTCCGGCTTCGGGGGCTTGTAAAACTGACGTCTGCCCCCGGAGTTAATGCCCAGCTCTGCAGGAACAGCCAGTGTCCTGAAATCTGCTGCAAGGTTTAGGCTCATCCGGGGAATTGAGCCCTGGGGTAATTTACAGCCTGTTTAAAGGTGATCTGCACAACAAATGTGAGTGTTGAGATAAGAATGGAAACCTGTACTAAATTCTTTCCTTTAACGGGCTGGGGGGGGTGGGGCATGCGGCACATAAATTCGCTCCAAGTCTCCATAAAAAAAGCCTTTACAGGCCCCGAGAAGTCATCTGGCTCCTTCAGACTTCACTAGAGATACCACAGAAAACACAACTCTGGGAATTCAGCCGTGCCAAGAGCCAGTGGTAATTCTGAAATGAGCCCTGCAAACCGCACCTGCCGACCTGGGCGCATCGTAAATCCTTGGCTGGGCCACAGGGACTTACATAAACTGTGATTATTTTATATAATAAGGAAATTCTAAGTGTGTTGAACAAAAACAATTACATTTTTAAAAGCTATCACAGAATTCTGCTGTGTACCTGAAACAGCCTCTTCCTCAATTACGTGAAGCCATCACGTGCACAGCCATCACGTTGGCAGGGAACGCGGTTTCTTTTCCGTCCTGTTTAAAGAAGATGGAGAGAGGGATTTTAAGCTCTAGGCATAGAAAGCTTTGTTGGCCCAAGAGTTGTAGTTACTGGTCTAAGCTGCTGAGCGACGGGTTTCGCTTCAGCCCTGGGTGGTGTGACCACGGTGCCTACCTGCTCTGTGTTCTGGGGAGGCGGGGGGGCTGCTCTTCGTGTCAGCTAATGAAGGGATGTACTGATTTCACTGCATTTTTATTAGGAATGAGAGGGTTTAGCTGGTTGAGGGAACCCTTCCATGGGAACCTGATTTTAAACTGGTTTAGGTAACCGTTTACCCGGGAAGGCTCGGCTCAGCAACAGTTTGCTTGTTTAGCCGTAGCCAGTTGGCCAGTGCTGTAGTCTGGAGGCAAATCAGTGCGTTCAGAACAGGTTTCAGTCTGCTTCGAGGTGAAGTTTGTCTAAAGAACTGCTGTGTCGAGGAGGCCTCACTGTTCAGGAGCTACCTAAGGGAGCGTTCACCACAAATCCGTCCAGGGAGAAAAGCACCCAGACTGTTCCTGGGAGACAGAAAAAGGACAGATTAAACCAACACTGACTTCTTAAGTTAATACTTAAACGGCCGTGTCCCTCGTCTGCTTAGTGAGAGATTCTTTTTTTTAACCCTTTGGTGAACAGGGAATGTACCAGAGACCATTTGTGGTGCCATTCCTGCCATTTAGTCTTTCCAGTGTATTTTATCCACTCTATAAATTAGTAATCAGTAAGAAATTCTAAAACTGGAGCATTAATATTACGTATAACATAAAATCTCACAGCTAAAAACCCAGTCCTCCCCCCCGCCTGCATTTTTACTGACAGAAGTCCGCTCTTGAGGCGTTCAGGACTGATCCACCAGCCAAGATTATGACTCCTTGCTGGAATGGCTTACGCATGCAGGGACTTGGGCATGGATGAAGCGACACAGGCGCTATGAACCGTACCCTTTTCCTTGCGGGACATCTCCTTGCACACCAACACCCTGATCCGCGCGCACGGGAATTAGGCGACAGCCGCTGTTCGAACAAGGTGGCAGCAGATGCAGCCCCAAGGTCGAGGGGACTTGTGGGTCAGGCTGCCCCAGCAGCTGTGACTCCCCACAAAGGTAGCGGTGGCTTCGCCGTCCATCGCGCCTGCCCGAGGGTTGTTGTGCCAGGTCTTTGTAACTATTTCAGCCCTAGGTGCAGATTCTTCTTTCCAGCTGAAATATTTAAATTGGTGCAAGCTGGGAAGCACATGCTTTGGAAAGGATCCAGGTACGCACAGCCTGATAGCCAAATTAACGTTCCCACAGTGCTGACAGACAGATGTGGCCGGAAAGTCAACAGGAGGGTCCCAAAGAGGCTTGTTGAATGGACTTACCGTGCTGCGGCAAGGGGAGGTTGTTAGCGTCCCCCGCTGCGCCACCGCCCGGGACTGTCGGCTCAGAGTAGGTGTGCTGGTCCTGTCTCTCAGTCGTTTACTGATCGATCAGACTTGGGTGTCTCTGCTGATGGGGGGGAATAGCAAAAGCACGGAGTGAGCAGTAAGTACACGCAGGCTCCTTCCCAAAGCACATCGGGATTGACATTCCCCCTCCTTTTCCCTACCCATAATATGGGTAAAACATCCCCCCAGTGGGGATTTTTGGGGGCTTTAATGTAGTGTTTGCAGTGTACTTTGGCTACATCTTTTGTTCAAAGGCAAAAGCTTTCTGGTGACACGGTCTCCCTCCTACCCACTGCACCCTGCTGCAAGGAGAATATTCGACATCCTACCAGCACCTCAGGGCACCCCACTCCACGTACAGGCAGCAGCAAAGATCTAGAACCCAGCTTCCACGCACGTTAACCGCAGCAGTGGCTAAGCCTCGATTAGAACCAGTCTAACCAGGAGCTGTACAAGCTTCCTCCTCAGCTCAGCATTCCCATTATTCCAGGCAGTTGTCAGCTACCGCTGGAAATTTGTTTCAAAAAATGTACTTTGTGAGGAAGGTCTTGGTGATGCTTAAAAGCTGCTGGAGAGAGTAGGCAGCTGGTGGGAAATATATTGTAACTCAGAGGTATTAGCTAGGCACGAAACTTGCTGTCTTCGGGCCGGACACGTGGATACCCTCAGATAACCCCCCCTGCCATGTGGTCTTGCTTACCTCTTCCACCTGCCATCTGCTACACATTGCTCCAGCGTAACAGGACATGAGAGGCAGCACAAGCAGCAGTCCACACCGGACACCACCCGCTCCTCTACGCTCTCCAAATTGAGAGCAGGTGATCCCAATCAGAACAACCGGGCGCTGCGTTCGTGTGGTGTCAAGGCAGCTTAAAACAGGCACTGGGAAGATGCGATGTGACGTGACGCAACACGGCACGATAAGTACACAACTGCCTAATCATCTCGTCTCAGATGGAAGGCAGCTGATAGGGAAAGCTAGCAAATTGGAAACTGCTGGAACAGCATGGCCCGCTGACTGCCCAGATTACCTTTGGCCAGCTCAGCACATCTCCGCGTAAAAGTGCAAGCTCAGTTGCAGGGAATAGCAGGGGAGCCCCAGAAGGTCGGATGTTCCATTAACCACCAGGATCCTGGCCAATCCAAAAGGTACTGGAGTCTGACACGCCGAGAGCAGCCTCGGGGTAGCGAAGGGGACATCTGCACCGCTCCCTAGGTCAGGTGTTTGAGCCCCGTTACTAATAGCTCCCCCTGACAAAGGCAGGGGTGTCGCCAGCCCCGGGGATTCCAGTTCCCTCACGCTCCAAGGCTGTGCGGAGAGGTAACAAGGAACGGGGCTGCTCTGAGCAGTTTGGGATTTGGGTGGAAGGGCTGGCTGGCATTATTTACAAAGCAACAGTCCCTGACTGTTACCAGGCCAGTGCCAGACCTGCTCCGTGTCGAAGCCCAGCTCCGGTCAGCCCTTCCCGTGGCATTTTACCTCTTAGCAGAGTCCAACCAGGTGCAGAGATCCGGGCCACTTCCGTGCGAGGAATGTTCAGCGATAGGCTTCTGCCTGAATCAGCACGGCTGCAGAGGCTGGTCAGTGAGCTGAGTGTGCCAAAGCTGCAAATGATACACACACCACGTCAGTATGTAAGAAAAATACGTATCTGTCACCTGATTAAATTTGATAGATTGGAAGGATCAAGTACATTTTCCTCCCCAGTTTGTTGGCAGAGATGGACGTGGCACAGACTGCTTCAAAATAAAGCCAACACTGAGAGAGATTTAAAACTTCCTGCTAACACTTCACAAAAATGTCTCCTGTTACTATTAATTACTTACCTTTCATTTCAGGGGATGTTAATTGTAGCAGCTCATCATATGTCACACACGTGTTCGGGCTAGGCCAGAGCTCTATTTTTAATGGGAGAAAACAAAAAATATGCCTTTTTTAATGGGAGAAAATATTCAACTGTTTGTTAGGTGTCACACACAAAAAAGGGAATATTGGGTAAGACTCAATACCGGTTTCTGCTTTGAAAGTCAAAACTTAGCCATTTTCTAGTATAATTGGAAAAATGTATAACTGCAGAGTGGCTACACATTCCTGTGCTCTTTAATAATTAAACTAATGCATACATGATTTGGCAAACACATATTTTGATTTTAAGGCTGCTCCTAATTAACTTGAACTGAATCAAAGTAATGGTTCAGGCAGCCTCTCGAGCATCTCCTGCTCGGCGCCGCGGCGAGAGCGCAACTCAGCGCAGGGATCCGCTGAAAACCCCGTCTTTTCTCTCTCGTTTTCAGTTGATTAGCTACATCTAACGAACGACAGCTAATAAATGGGTGGGGTGTTGCGCCTCCGCGGGTTTAACACCGAGAGCAACAGCAGGTTTCCTCGTGGCAGCCAGGCTGGGGTCGGAGGCCGCGGTCCGGCGGAGCCCGCAGGGGTGGGCTGCCCCTTCTGTTCGACGCTCTCGCAGAGGCCTCCAAGGCGCGCACCTAGGGCAGCTGGCGGGCCGAGACGCTCCTGGCATGGCAGGGCAGGAGGAACGTTGTCGGGATGCTGAGAGCAGCGCCCGGGAGCGCTTCATTTGCCTCTTCACAGAGCTGGAGAGCCGGACGGTTGGAGTTTGCTTGAGTGGCTAAGGAGGCAAAGCAAAGGAGAGCGAGACATTGTACGTGGCAGTGACAGAAA